CCCTCTCCCCCTCCCCCTCCTGCCCCGCCCGCTCCTCCCCTCTTCTTCTCTTAGACTGTTCTCTCTGCTTGGCTTCTTCCTCTATTTAGTAGAAGACATACCTTGCCGAATCCATTTGAAAATCACATTTTCCTAAATAATGTGTTTCTAATTTCTGTTAAATTTCTTCTGTTAATTTCTGTTTTCATTTCTTCAAACAACCTTTCAGATGTGTGCCCTTGTGCTGAGTCTTTCTGGTAAAATTCCACTGCTTTGTCTCATACGTTCTTCCTTCTCTAACCTCATCCTTGAATAGGACAGGCTTTGTCTAGACCTGGCACGCCAGCGGTTTCTGAACTGCCATTGGCCCAATCCCTGTCAGCTGGGCGCCAGCAGGAGCCCCAGGAGGCCCGCAGCCGGCGGCTGAGAGGGTCTGCATGGGTCCATAGGCTAGTCCCCAGCATCCGGCAGGTGTTTGAGCAGAACTGGACTATTCTCCTCCCACTGTTCTCCCTGATTCTCGACTCTCAAGACAGAGTGAGAAGGCAAATGAGAGAGCCCTGTGACGGTCACAGACCAGGGACATGAGGCCCCACTTCTATCCCCCTTTTACCTTTGATGATGGAGCTTAGGGAACTGGGGGCGCTGCCTGGAAGCAGAAGGAAGGTGACAGGAGCCGGGAAGGAGGATGCACAAATGGGAGATGGGCTCTGTGGGCAGGGGCACCCAGCAGGGGAAGGGATCCCCCCTCCTGATGGCTTCAGTGTCTGGCTGCCTGTCCCGGGGGGGGGGGCCTGCTCCTTTCCAGAGGGTCGAGTCCAGCAATGGCCCCTTGGTCCTCTAGTTCACCTGCAGTTTTCCCAGATTCTAAGTTGACTGTGTTCTGTGTTCTATGTTGCTGAGATTTCTTCTATATGTTCTGGTGGGAGCCCCTCACTGGTGCCATTTGAAGCCTCAGTTCTACCATTTAAGCTAGTCAGTGTGTAGATCGTGTACCTATGAAACTCCATTTTTCTTAAAAAGGCTGGCCCGTTGAAGGGTCACCTTTTGACAGTAGTTCGACCCTGAAGAACCTGTCTTGTAGGAGAGGCTAGAGGCTTTCACTGCCACGGAAGTCTCACTGAGCTGAATTTCTTACCCTGATAAACGAAAGGCTAGTGGGAAGGCGGCCTCTCTCACGGATATATAGTGGTATTGCCAAATGCCGGCCTTCCTGGGTGACCAGTTGAAGTCTGAGTCCTCAGGGACCTGAGCACGGCCCCTCTCTCCATCTCTGCAGGGTTCCAACAAACTGAACGAAGATCTTCTGGAAAGAATCAACAGTGCCAAGAAAATCCACCTGGTCCCCTGTCACCTCCGAGACAAGTTCGTGCTGCGATTGGCCATCTGTGCCCGCACCGTGGAGTCTGCCCATGTGCGGCAGGCCTGGGAGCACATCCAACAGCTGGCCACCGACGTGCTGAGAGCCGAGAAGGACTAGAAGGCCCAGCTGCAGGGAAGCTGCTGCAGGTAAGCTGTCCCCCCAACTCCGCCACTCCACACTGCTGGGCACGGATTTCCTCCACCGCTGGAAGAGGAAGGACTCCCCACACTGCAATGATCCTTTAGGAACAGAGATACATTTCTACTTTGTATTCTTTTTTTTTCTTCTTAAGACTTTATTTATTTATTTGAGAGAGAGAGAGAGCACAAGCAGGGGCAGAGGGTGAGGGAGAAGCAGACTCCCTGCTGAGCAGGGAGCCCGATGCAGGACTCCATCCCAGGACCTCCCCACCGATTATGACCTGAGCCAACTGAGCCACCCAGGTGCCCCATTTTGTGTTCTTTTATATGAGACTATCAATCCTGCATCTCTCAGATTTCTTCCGTGTTTACAGACGCCGCTTACTAATATCGCATGCATTTATATTAAACTGGACAACAGCAGATAAATGAAAATTAAACATTACAACAGGAGTTTGATGTGACTGATGATTTATGTTTCTCTGTCTCTCTCTCAATCTTCACGGCCCCGTTACTCACTTACTAAAACCCATGGGGGGTGTGGAACCTAAGTGTATTATATAATTTATTGTATTGATTGCATACAATTTTATCTTGTTTGCTCTTGATTTTCACTGTGAATACGTGAAGCCATGCTCAAAAAATCAAAAGTTCAAAAGCCCATTTCATATATGGCTCCCAGCTGTGAGGTCCAAGATGCAACTTCTCAGTCAAAGCCTGCCCAGAAATACCAGATCCTTTTCCTGGTATGACAAGAACCTCTCTTAAAGGAGCCCAGCCTGCCCAGAGCAACACCAGACATCTAGCTTGAGTATCTCTGGAAGGTACTGGAGAGAAATCACGGTTTCAAATATTTCCATTGCTCTCAGATGAGAATGTGTACATCTGTGTGTGGGGGGGGTGCGTAAGTGCTATAAGATACATACAAAACAAAACCGTCTCAGGCAAACACTCCTGGTTAACATTTCCACAGCCCTATGTTTGCACAAATCTCATCGGGATCTATCATATCAGGATTTTATTCCCATGTGCCCATAACAACAGAGTGTCTATAGCTCTGAAATGTGAGCAGAAACAAAGTCTCATTTCTGATAGAAGTCAAGATGACTGGGGCGCCTGGGTGGCTCAGTTGTTTAAGCGTCTGCCTTTGGCTCAGGTCATGATCTCAGGGTCCTGGGATCGAGTCCTCTGTCAGGCTCCCTGCTCAGCAGGGAGTCTGCTTCTCCCTCTCCCTCTGCCCCTCCCCCTGCTCGTGTTCTCTCTCTCGCTCTCGAATAAATAAATAAAATCTTTACAAAAAAAGTCATGATGACTGTGAAATCATACACATTATCAATTCAAAAGGTTACAAATGGGGGGTTCCTCGGTGGCTCAGTCGGTTAAGCCTCTGACTCTTGATTTGGGGTCGGGTCGTGATCTCAGGGTCATGAGGTTGAGCCCCGTGTCGGGCTCTGTGCTGGGCGTGGAGCCTGCTTAAGATTCTCTCCCTCTCCCTCTGCCCCACGCCTCCTGGTCATGCTCCTTCTCTCTCTCTAAAAAAAAAAAAGGTACAAATGGGATTAAAATTTTTAAAAATATAGGATATAATAGTGAATCGTAACACATGTACTTTGGGGGCCAGGTTAACTCAAGCAACGAAAATCTGAATACCCGGGCTTTACTTGTGCTTGCCTGAGATTATCATATCAAATTCACGTGGTTGTAGTTCCGACGGAGAGAAGGAACTATCCCCATTTCATGGAGGGTAGAAACTGGCACAGATGCTGGCTGATATTGGTAAAATGTGTCCGAGAGAGGCCAGATCAGCTGCTTGATCTCGTAGTTCACAGTTCCTATTCATCTACGATGCACGGTTCCCTCCAGCTCACTGGAGAACTAGCATATTCTTTCTCTGTATTCTAACGAGAAGTATACAAAATACTGATTCTTTAATTTTTTTTAATGTAGCCATATGTTCATGTATATGTTTTCCCCTGTAGAGATCAAAAGTTGAAAAGGAGTATATCTGAAAGCTGTGGAATGAGAAGACAATAAACTTTATTCCGGATCCGAGGACCCAAGCCTGCATGAGGCCTCACGCTTCTTTCTGTGAAGTTCTCCAGAAGCTTAGTGATTATGTCTGCTCACTCTCTTACCAATGAAGAAACTACTTACTGCAATCCCGGTGCATGGAACTTTTATTCATTATTCAACTGTGACTTTTGTTGATTAAGAAATCATAGGTTGTCATGCTCTTGAAGTCGTCAGTGGTGGGAGAGGCTTACTGAAATATTTTCCAGGATATTCTAGGATCGAGGGACTTGAGATTATACCCGTGGTCTTTAAATTGTTCTGTCATGTGGCTTAATGCTTAATAAACAATTTGAAGTGCAGTGGTGATTGTGTCTGGTAAGCATCCTTTGGTTCTGCGTTGTACCCAACTGATTGTTGTAATGCGCACTTAACCTTTCAAAACAGCCGAAGATATGGCATCCTTGGATAATTTTTTAAAAAGATTTTTATTTATTTATTTGAGAGAGAGAGCGAGAGAAGGAGCACAAGTAGGGGGAGCAGCAGAGGGAAAAACAGGTGCCCCACTGAGCAGGGAGCCTGAGGCAGGGCTCGATCCCAGGACCCTGAGATCATGACCTGAGCCGAAGGCAGACACTTAACGACTGAGCCACCCAGGTGCCCCCATCCTTGGATATTTTTCAATGGTATTCATTGCTCCAACAAATGTTTATGGAGTACCTAGTACATGTCAGGCACTGTTCTAGATGCATTAGCAACATATAAGTTTTACTTAGAAGTGACTCTAACTCTTGAAGAAATAAACCCAGAGCCAGGACGCAATCACAGACCAAGTTCTACTGGCATGATGGGAAAGATTACCTTCTAGGACCTTGGTTTCCTGGTCCAAGGACCAGTGATGAGTCCATCTGCCCTATGGTCTCATGACTGATAAACAACCAGAGTGCTCTTGTAAACGTAAATACCAATAAGCTGCAGTATTTACTCTAATAGCCTATCTTTGCTTGAAACCATCTTTGCTGGCAGAAACACTTGAATTTTAATCCCAAGATGAGTTCTTGTCCTTTAGAGATGATTTAACTATTTAAAGCAAAGCGTTCTCGGAAAAGGTCCTTGGACTATTAATAAGTCTATTGGAATTTCAAAGACCTCTGATAGCTAAATGTAATTAAATGGTCTGTTTTTCAGGAATCTGGAAATACATCAGAGGCTATGTAGTTCCCCATCTTACACATAAGATCATTGGTTCTCTGCCCATCAGTGAACCAGACCTGCCTTCGATTAAGGTGTGAGGACATGGGATGGGCCACTGGGGCCACTGGGACCACATGTTTAGAGCTGTAGGGTGTTGAGCACTCAGATCATTGAGTTGAGGCGGAGGTGACTCTGTTCTACAATGAGATGGTTTGCACCTGAGTGTGCTCTTGAGCTAAGTTTGCTACAAGATCTCCAAAATGAGCCACTAAAGTCACTGAGGCCAGCTCTCAGCTTTTGTGGAGCTGCCTACCCAGCCCCATCTATAAGCCTACTTTGGGAAGATGGCGGAGGCTGGAGTCCCAGGCAAGAGCTTGGGTGGCAGGTGACAACAGGGACGCTGCTGAGAGCCATGTACAGACAGGAGGCCCGAAGCCAGCTGAGTGACTGAGAGGCTCCTCTCTCTGAGCTTGGCTAGGTCTTTCCGGTGGAGATTCCTAGACATCTGCTTAGATGTAGACCCAGCAGAGATGAAAGCTTGTCTGACTTCTGGCTCCTTTCTCTGTAAATCATCACTGTTCATCCCACCTCCTGATCTCTCCAGGCATCTCGGGGACAGAGCCATCAGGCCCCAAACCACCCAGCCTAGACCCAGCAAGAAGCACTGCTTCCCTGTGTATTAAACACACACGCACACTCATAGCATGTGATCCATGCCAGGCACCGTTAACAATATTTTTAAAATATTAACTTTATACTTATTTTTAAATTTTCAGTTATTACTCCCAATTTACAGATGAGAAAATGGGGTTTGTCAAGAGGGTTTTTCAAGAGGTTTAGTGACTTGTTCCAGGTCATGCTGCCAATCGGTGACTGAGCTAGGACTAGAACTCAGGCAGCCTGGGACTAGAATGCACACCCTTTGCCCACTCAACTGGGTGGCCAAATATGCTGTCTGCTCTTCAAGGTGAACCATGTCTCAGAATAAGTGGCAGTCAAACCATTCATTCCCTTCTGGGAAAAACCCATTTTCACCTCCCAGGTCGAGTCTTGGCTCCTGACCCCAATCTGACAATCCCCAAATAGTCCCATAGTTTATAAAAGTCTGGACTACTCAGCCTAATCTTTGATCCACCGCATAGCATCTTTACGTAAATATACATTCTGTTTGGTGTCACGACATGTCCTAGACCCCGGATGGCACCGGAAGTTGACGCAAAGGCCTCCTGGCCTTTGATAATGGCGCCTCCTGCTTGGTGTTGGAAAAATCTCCGATGGATGTGGACACAACCAGATCCGGATACCCAAACCGTATTTAGTCATACATAACACTTCTGACACCAAATGAGATTTTTCCCTCCTGGCACCAAATAGCAGCACCTCTTCTAACACTACCTCTCCAACTCTCTGACACTATCTAACGGGAGTTAGATATGAGCTCATAGTTAGGGCTCCGAACCATAAGTTGCCCTGCACCTGATGCCCGTCACAATCCCAGGGCCTCCCATACTTCTGACCGACTGGCTATAAAGCAGGGGTTCCCTTGACCCCCTCCTTAGATTCAGTGCCTTGCTAGAACAGCTCACAGACTCAAGACGCCGTTTACTTGTGTTTACCACTTTTATTATAAAGGGTAAGGCTCAGGAACAGCCAACCAGAAGAGCTGCGCAGGGCAAGGTATGGGGAAGGCGGATGGAGCTTCCACACCCTCTGAGTGCACTCTCCTAGTACCTACATGTGTTCCCCAGCTTGGAAACTCTCCCAACCCTGTCATTTAGGGGTTTTTATGGTGGATCCATGACATGGGCATGGTTGCTTAAATCACTGGCCACGGGTGATGAGCTCAATCTCTGGCCCCCCTCCCCTCCCCAAAAGTCAGGAGGCAGGACTGAAAGTTACAACCCTCTAATCACACCTTGGTCTTCTTGGTGTTCAGCCACCATCTTGGTTCTGTCTAGGGGGCAACAAAGAGTCACCCTGTTTTGAGCAAAAGAGGCTCCTGTCACCCACACATTCCCAGGGGTTTCGGAGCTTTGCTGTCATGTATCAAGGGCAAAACCCAAGAATATATTGTTCTTATTGTATTACACTAAGAAGATCTCCTGGAATCATATGCCTCTTCTCCAAAATGTGACAAACAACAAAACTTTGTGGGACCAAAGACGCTCACTCAGGCTGACTACGTGCCAGTGTTGAAAGGAACCTGTGGAAATGCCCAAGACAGACGGGAGAAGTGGGATGTCACTGGGCATTCCCTTGTTCATCATAAGGGGAGAAGACCCAGAGGGAAGGCAGGTTTAAAGTATCCACTAACTTCATCCCTGTGCCCCTAACTCGTGAGTCCCTTGGACTTAGTACATTAGAAACTGCTGATATTTTATCCAGAAAGCCTGTGTTTGAGAGCAGGAATGGAGATTGCCTGGTGGCCTTTTGCTCTAACGATTGTTTTATTGCTTTTCCGACTCGCGTAAATCCCCAAGGATCAAATATTAGAAACTTTTGCTTTTTCTCTTTTACTGCACTCGATACCAAAATCTTTTTCTTCAGCACCTCTGTGCTGCCTCCTATCACCTCTACTTGGCATAAATAATAGAAACAAATTATTAAGAAAGCACTGTGAGAATAGGTTGCTTGCATAAACTGGGTCAATCGGGAGCTACTATTTTTGAGAAACTTGCGTGTTTCTGCTCTAAGCAGAGATGTGACACAGATGGTCGAGGGAAGGGAGAAGAAGAAGAAACAAGGTGGGCTCACTTATACGAGACCACGTGAGTCCAAGGCGTCTAAAATGCAGACCCCAGACCTCACCATTTATGATGATAGCCCCTGGTGCCATCAGAGGGAAACCGAGTCACGTGAGGAGGTTTATAAACGGAAGGCTATCCAGGGGGAAAGACTCAGAGAGAGGACTTGGTTCCTGTCTTTAAATGTACACTCCCTTTTGCACGAAGAGTCTTTGTGCCTCCAAAGAGTGACACGGAGGGAGGCAGGTTTTGTTTCAACGTGGAGAACTCAAAAGACGGGCTGTGAGCACACAGGATCTGCTTTCTCACCAGGCAGTAGGTTCGCCACCCCTGCAGGCATTCAAGTGGTAAAGGAAACTCCTCGATGGAACAGAAAACCTGACCACCTTTGAGCCCTCTCCTACAGCTGAGATTCAAGGGTCTATGAAGACCAGAGAAGCTGGGCTGATCGATCAAACAGCAAGGTTAGGGAGCACAGAAATTGGAAGCACCGCCCCACGATGTGTTCTTCTTGAGTAAAAAGCGCTAGCCAGCCGCTCCCCCCCCCCACCACCACACACACTCCCCTGCTGAGCTAAAGGCTAACCTGACCATAATAATCTACACTTGGGTGGTGCTTACTGGGGTCATTCTCATCCAAACGCTCTTCAGCGATCAACTGGGTTTATCCCCCTCCAGACTCCCGGATGTAGCTTGTGTGTAGTGGGGCTGGGATTTGAACCCTGAAAAGCTGGGTCCATGGGCCATGCTCTTAATTACTGCACCAGCCTGCCCCTAGACCATCAGAATACAGTCTATTTCTTTCCTAGGGTCGTTGGAACAAAGCACCAAAAACTACGAGACTTAACAGAAATTTATTCTCTCAGAGTGCTGGAGGCCAGAATCCTGAAATGAAGGTGTCCGCAGGGCCACTTTGCCTCCACAGCCTCCAGGGGAGGGTCCCTCCTTGCAGCTCCAGCTCTGGTGGCCCCAGATGCTCCCTGGCTTATGAGTGCATATTACTCCAATCTCCGCCTCCCCTCTGTACCTCTCTTCTTTATAAATCATCAGTCACATTGGATTAAGGCCCACCCTGGTCCACTATGACCTCATCTTAACTCGATTGCATCTGCAAAGACTCTCTATCCAAAAACCATCACATTCCCGGATACCAGAATTAGGATTTCAGTATATCTTTTGGGAACACAATTCAACCCACAGCCCATATAGTAGCAGACAAGAAGCAGCTAGAAGTGCTGACTCAGGCTGGCGGTGATGTTCTAGGAAAAATGACCAAAGCAGATTGTCCTTATAAGGCTCTGCCTGCCCCATTTCTGTTTACTCTGTGATGCCACAGGATCCTCCCCACCGTCGCTGTGATTCATTCAGTGCGGCCAGTGAAAGTTTTACTGGGACTGTGCATGCGTTCCGTCCAGATGCACACA